CACTGAGAACTGGCCCAGTGAATTACACAGAGAAAAATACAGCACTGAAACAACTGACTAAATGACCTGAGGAACAACATAGATGAACTAGAAGTTCAATTTTTGAAAGTACTCTCTAACCTCAATGGTTTTGAACCATCTGTCCTAGGGCTCTAACTAGTCCAGTTCTTTATATAATGCCTTAGTTAGCAAGTCTAAGAAAGATGCGGCCGGTGGGGGGGGGGGTACACCCTTGCCACTTCAGTAATAAAGAGCTTCTTAAGGTGATGTGGGGTCATCTGACCATAGCGATTATTGAACAAGCCAGACGCAAACCCATGAGACTGACTGCCTTAAACACTGAGGAGGAAATGCCTCCTATTGCTGCCAAAGTGTGTGTAGTAAATTCATTCTAAAGTTCTTCTGGGCATTAGGGCTCAGATTTAGATTTTATTGCGGCACATCTAAAAATGCTTCTTCTTGAGCCTAGTCAATTTGCAGCTCCGTGTGCTCTTCCGCACTCACTGATGAGTTTTTCCCAGTAAAAATCGTTCTAGGAATGTGGAGGGACTCTGAGTCTTCTTTCTACTTTCAAAGACAAATCCAGCAAAGCATAGGAAACTAACAAACCAAATGAAATATGTAAGAGGCCTGAGAACGTCTGCAAAGTAACTAACATATCCACTGTACTTTGTGGCCATTGACTGGTTGGATAAGTTTAAGAAGAAAGTATCAGAAATTAGTAAACAGCAAAAATTATTTCTAATTTATTTCGCTAAAGGAAAATCTGAAGCAGAAACATATTAAATTAGTAAAATAGAAGAAACATTACTGGGAATAATGTAATAGATTTTCCCTAAATATCTGTTATGTTGTAGCTTTATCAAAGAACAAAAAAGTAGTTGAAAAAGATACAGCATGCAAATTTGAACAGACACCGAACATGACCTAGTCATCCTAAAGATGAACATAACTGCTATTCTTATTTATTGAGTGTACAATTTATGTCTACCAATGTACTGGAAGTTTTGTGCAATTGTCTAATTTCATTTTTCTAACAACATGTATGGTAAATATCGTTAGTCTCATTTAAATGGGAAAAGTGGGGCTCAGAAATTTTAAGTAATTCTCTCAAAGTCTTGTAGGTAGTGAGCTGATCAAGAACTGGAAACCAAATGTGTGTGACAGATTTACATTCGTTCCAACATTGCCTTGAAAGAAATTAAATTCAAAGATTAAATGCCATTTCTCCTTCATCAAAAATAACTTCTTTAAGGATAAGACTGACACTGCAATTTAATGCCAAACTATGCAGTCTTTTAAAAGCATGGAGTCCTGATTATAGTTTTAAAGGATTTAATTTAGATGCATTTCACTGAATTGATTTACATAGCCAAGCCTAAGATCGCTTTTGAGGGAAGTGTTCTACGAAGTGCAAGTATTTCCCATTGTCTTTCTAACATTTTAACTTTACAATGTAAAGCCTAGAATGACAGCGCATAGTGGGATGAGGGGAGCCCCAGCATGCATTGTGGGGCAAGGGGGGAGAGGCAGAATCTGGAGGTTACACAGTGGCAGCAGCTGTGGAAGCAAAATGATGCACAGTATCGCAAAATGAAGTCTTAGCAGAGCAAATGACCTTTAGGAGAAGGGGTGGTGGAAAGAGACTGAAATGCAGGGTCTGAGATGGAGGTACGTTGTATCACTATACCAAATATCTTAGGACGGCCAGAAAGTAAAGCGAACTTTTCTCCTCACAAGCCACTCTGCATGAGCACGCTGAACATCTCATCCCTGTTTGGATGTTATTCAGTTCGCTCTAAGGGAATGATCCTTTAAGTGATTTTTAGGAAATCCTGTTATACCATCCCGCTGACTATAACATTACTTATTTTTCAGAGCCAGAAAGTAAAGCGAACTTTTCTCCTCACAAGCCCCTCTGCATGAGCACGCTGAACATCTCATCCCTGTTTGGACGTTATTCAGTTCGCTCTAAGGGAATGATCCTTTAAGTGATTTTCAGGAAATCCTGTTATACCATCCCGCTGACTATAACATTACTTATTTTTCAGAGACTCGATTATAATTTCATGTCCCTGTTTAAGATAACCACAATCACAGTTCAGTACAATTACCTAGATGGAGCTCATGGTGTGGCATCTCACAGCCTTCTGAGATAAACTACTTTTTGTAGGTTTCTAAGTCATTTGTCTACTAGTGCTTTCCACTTTTTAAGTTGGGCAGGGAAAGAGGAGGAACAAGGAAGGTAGAAGTAAAAAATATTGTTCTCACCAGAGAAAAGCTAACAGTATTAAGAAAAATCCAAAGGTGGCTCTTTAACCATTGATTCATGTCATAAAATTTTCCTCTATGACTTATGAGTCACCTTTAATTTCATTTTCTTGCTTTGTAAGAAGTATTTGATTTTCTTCCCTGCCTAAATGTCTCTGCAAACAGGAGAGAGTCTAACAGAGCCAGAGGGCAGCCACCTGGGGCAGTTGCTTTCTCTTTGGTTACCTTGTAGTTTCTGGTTGTATTCGGTCCTGTCAGACTGGCTCCTCCTCAAGGCGCCAGAGTGGTCCCCAGAAACACTGCTCTCCACCACAGTATCAGTCTTCCTTCTCTCCAGCATATATAGCCTGGACCTCAAGAAGGTCAAATTCTTTCTCTTGCTTCCCATGTTTTCTTTCGCAGTGGCTTCTCTGGATTCCATTTGCGGCAAGAAGAGGTCTTCTGAGGTCTGTGGGCAATGGCTGGCTGCTTTAAGGACCTCGGGGTGAACGTTGCAGTTTAACTTCCCCCTTCTAACTAAACAGCCTCACTGCAGGGTTACCTGGCTGTGACTGCTACCTTGGAGTCCCTGAGCTCCACCCATATGAGGTCATTCTTTTTTATACCTAGAATCCAACAGGGGAAGCTGCCACCTGTTACCGGAGAGACCCACAGCCCTGAGCTAGGCAAAGCAGGGATTGCACTGTCACATGCTGTTGCAGCAAACAAAAATCCCATTGTGTGGGGCAAGGGCTGGGGTGGGGAAAAGAAGCATGAACAGGTGAGGCAGGGAGGGAGAAAGAGAAGGACACATTAGCAGAGCCTGCAGCCTGTGGGTTGGATGTGTGCCCATGGGTGTGTGCAGGTGTGCCCTGAGCACTGTGTTGTGGTCAGCAGGGAGCCCCATGTGTCTTGCCTCTAGTCCTCCACCCGTGACTCTGAAGTCAGTGTGTAGCTATGAGAATTTGCATTTGCACAGCAGTGAAGACGGAATTATTTTGAATTTGGAGTGTGTGAACTCTAATTCTTCTGACTTTAAGTGTGCACATCCAATGATTATTTAGACCTGACTAAACCCTCATCAGCACTCCTAAAAAACAGGAAGTCACATTTACAGTGATCCCCAGGAAGCTCAAGAACAGGAGGGGAGTGAATACCCACAAAGTCCAGAACCTTCACCAGGGCTTATATACTGCCTTTGCCTAGAATTCATCTTTTTCTGGTCCCAACCGTGTCCTCCTATGTCTTGGCTGTTAGGAAAATAATAGATGAATCAAGGTTAATTTCTTTAAGATCTTTCTCCTGTACCTTCCACAAATGGAGCATTAGGAAAGGACATCACTCTTTGGGGGAGGAGGAGGAGGAGGCAACATGTTTGAAATTGAGGAAGCAGAAAGAGAAGCAGAGGTTGTGGGGGAGAAAGGCGAATGGGGACCGGCCTTTCATTAGTTGTTTGAAGTTGTTTTTCCTTGTATTTACTGAGATCTCTCAAGGGAGAAATTCTCAGAAGCCCTGGGAATGTGCTGAGTGTTTTGTACATGCCCTTGTTAAGGAGAAATGAGAACCTAAGGCAGAAAATAGATTCTTTATTGTAAAGACCATTAGAATTTAGCTTTGAGCTGCCCATTATGAATCTTGCTTAACTCTAGCTAGACACGATTCATAAATGAGGAGAAAGAAATAACCACTTTCCCAACTCAGGATATTGTAGGCTGAATGCAATTTGCATAATTACCTCAAAAGATAGATGACAAATTCTCATCCACTATAGAGATATCTATTTATATCTTGGCATATTGAATGGCTTTTATTTTATATGACAATCCCTCCCAAGTATATTTAATAAATGCTTTTAAGGATGTAAAATGAGCTTTTTATTTATTAAAAATTATCTCAATTATTTAAATTATATATGTGTTTATACACATAAATATATATTATTAATATATGTATTTACCTGGTACTTATCAGAGTTATACTCTTCAGTAAATATTATAACTGAAAAAATTAATTGTGCAATTAAAACTATAAGACTTTTAGGAAACAGGAGATTTCAGAACAAAACACAAATTTTGCCAGTGGCCCATAAAAACCAGATAGAAAACTAGTAAAAATGGACAAAACATTTGGGGCTGGAGAGATGGCACATTTTATGTGGTTACACATGAAAAATGTTTTTTTATTTAGTCCTTGCTTTTTTTTTTAAAGTTTTCCGTTTTCACATGTGTGGCATGCATACATGTGTACATGCTTGCATGTGTGCGGATACACATGTATGGGGGTGTTCTTAGACTTGCGGGCATGTGCATGTGGAGGCCCTAGACTGATGCTGGAAACCAGAATCTGGATCATTACAGCACTGTATTCATTGAGTAAGTTCTCTCCATCAAACCAGAGCATGCCCATATGGCTAGTCTTGCTAGCCAGCTTGCTCTGAGGATTCCATGCCTCTGCCTTCCAAGGCTAGACTAACAGTGGGCACCTACAGTCACCTGGCATTTACGTGGGTTCTGGAGATCAGAATGCTGGTCCTTCTGCTTGTGCAGCAAGTACTTTAACCATTAAGCCATTGCCCCAGCCCACCTCACTTTGTCTTTTGATATAGGGTCTCAGCCTGGAATTTACTATGCAGCTGAAACAAGCCTTGAATATGTGATCGTCTTGCCTCATCTTTCAGAATGCTGGAATTACAGGTGTGGGCCACTGTACCCAGCTTCAGTGTTTAAGCAATGTGCAGAGACTACAATAAATACAGCCCTTTATCTTGGAAAAGATCTGGTATTTGCTTGTGGCCATGTCCTTCAAGAAGGCTGCAGTGTATAAGTTAGGAAATAGCAAGACAAGCATTGTTTGAAATCACAAAGAAACATGACACCCAGATGTGTGTGACAGACGTGGCCCAGAACACAGCCAGGGAACTGGGGTTGCCAATAATGTTTGAAAGATATGCAGGTGACTTTGTGTTTTCTGAACTAATCATTTTATCTAGAGACAATTTTTTTGGATTTGCTTAAATGTTTCAAGTGGAAAACTTCACACACAAGCAAACACGAAATTGTGCTATGTTCAAACAGTTACTTAATATGTTCCCTAAACAATTCCCTAATATCTTATTGGAGCAAATTTGTAATTTTAAAACATTATAGCATTGGTATTCTGACATCTTTATTTTTTTTATGTCACCAATTATGAAAATATAGAGCACAGCTACTATGAATTCAGTTGAGACTATAATAGTTTTAAAATTTTTTTTCATTTTATTCTCTCTCTCTCTCTCTCTCTCTCTCTCTCTCTCTCTCTCTGCACATATGTCACAGGACAACTTGCAGGAGTCAGTTCTCTCCTTCTACCATGTGAGATCTAGGGATTGAACTCAGGTCATCAGGCTTGGTGACAAGTGCCTTTATCTGCTGAGTCATCTTGTCAGCCCTCACAGTAGTGTCTATGTAAATTTAAAAATGATACATAAACTGGGCGTGGTGGCACACACACCTTTAATCCCAGCAATCAGGAGGCAGAGGCAGGCGGATCTCTGTGAGTCAAGGCCAGCCTGGTCTACATAGTGAGTTCCAGGACAGCTGGGGCTACAGGGAATCCCTGTCTCAAAAAGACCAAAAAAAAAAGATACATAAGGTCCAAACTTCTACTATGTTTAAATCTGAGATGGTCCCCAAAGGCCCATGTGTTGGGGTTTACCTGCCAGCTGTTGGGATTTCAGGAAGTGACTGTATCCTGAGGGCTCTGGCTTAATCAATGAATAAGTCCATGGAGATGATGGCATTTCCAGGAAGTGGTGGCAAGCAGGAGGTGAGGCCTGGTGGAGGAAGCAGGTCACTGGGGCATACCCTGGTAAAAACATCTTGCCCCCCGCAGTGAGCAGGGACTGAAACCTCTAATGATGTGAGATAAAATAAATCTCTCCTCCTTGCATTAGATGTTCTTAGATATGTTGTCACAGTGGCAAAACCTGACACAACCATTTTGTATTAATTTTATTCCATCAGTGATCAGGAGAGATATTATTAATGAGTTATTCAATCTTCATTCCCCAGTCTCTCCCAACCCCTCTGCCCCCTCCCCCACCCCCACTGTCATTCTTAGGAGCAGAACCTTTATTTTGTTCAAGGCAGCGTTTGGCTTGGCGGATCAATGATAATTTTTTCCCTCTTTTTTTCCCAGTCTCTCTTGCAGCAAAACGTGGCCAGATAGCATCCATTCTGGAGAATGGCATCTCAGTGGCAGTCTTCTAGACAAGGGCTGAGGTATTGGTTCTGAGAAAGTGTTTCCTTCTCTAACAAAAGGAGCAGGTCCTTCCTCAGACTCAGCCATACTATCATGCATGAAGCAGCCCCAGTCATCCTGGGTTTGTGAGATGAGCAGAAGAGACAAATGAGTCCTATTGCTACACTCCAAAACGAGCTCCTGTAGTCACTTACCTTGGCCTCTTTGTTATCAGGGTAAAATGAAGACTTCTCTTCAGGGCATTGTTGGAGCAGACAATACACATGCAAATTCATACTTCTCTCGCTTATCTCCTTAAGTGAGCCAATGTGTTTAGATCCTCTGCCAAAAAGATGATTTCGTTTTACTGAAACTTAAAACATTCAGGTAAGAGAAATTTTGAGTGGGCCTCTTGGAGCATCATCCAGGCAAGAGGAACAAGACCGCTTATCTGTGCAGACAAAAAAAAGCTTCAGCACGAGGAGGTTATACCACTTGAATAAAATGTCCCAATTTCTTCATTTGTAAAACACAAGAGTGAGTTAGTCTTTAGTACTATTCACCAAATATTTTTGGTTTTTCACCTAGACACATGAGACTATTTCAGAACCCAATTCACTGTCAACTGATCACTGTATAAGTAATTTGCTTTGGTCCAAGAAATCGAAAGTGATGCATGTCTCTTCTGGGTCAATATTAAAAGCGTTCTGGTTCCCTGTGGCTTTCTTCCTGTCACCCATGGGACAGTGGTTTCTTCTTCAGTATTCCTCCTAGAACAAAGATAACTCAGAGAAGCAGCCCTGGCCATTTTGCAATGTGGTATATATGAGCATAAAAGTCTTCTTTGTTGCCTTGCTACACAGTTTTCAGGCTTGTGCTGTTATTTTGAAACGGACTCTCACTATTTATCCCATATTGGTCTGTGACTTCCCTTGTAGCCCAGGAAGACCTTGAACTTGTGATCCTTTTGCTTTAGTCTCCCATGTGCACAGCTATGCACCACCACACCCTGAGGAGCCTTTTAAAAATTATTACTGCAGCAGAGCCTAGACTATACTTATGAATGCAGTGTGTAGGATAAATGATACATAAATCTTTTTAGGTCCAGCATTATGTGATTTCAGTATTCTAACACCTAGTGTTATTAGGTGGACAAATCCTGATTCCAAAATAAAAATATTATCTCCTAAATATTGTTATGAATAGATTAGGTGGCAGAGGAAAAGAGGGAAAGAAACTTATTAAGGAAAGCCAGGCAAGAAACTTGGACTGGAGTAGTGGAGTAGAGATAAAGGAAAGTTGGAGGAATTCAAAATACATTATTAAAGTTGAACTGGCAGAACTGATTGAAAT